ACCTGAGGATAGGAGGGCAATCCAGGCTGACCTTGACAGGCTCAGGAATGATGTTTAACACCAAAAAGTGCAAGGTTCTCCACCTTGGGAAGAAAAACCCGCAGCACGCTTATAGGTTTGGCAGGGCTACATTGGCTAGGACTATGGATGAAAGAGACTTGGGGGTCATGATTGGCCACAAGATGAACATGAGCCTGCAATGTGATGCTGCAGCTAGTAAAGCGAGCAAAATGCTGGCTTGCATCCATAGATGTTTCTCAAGCAAATCCCAAGACGTCATTCTCCCCTTGTACTCGGCCTTGGTGAGGCCGCAGCTGGAGTACTGCATCCAGTTTTGGGCCCCGCAATTCAAAAAGGATGTGGAGAAGCTTGAGGGAGTCCAGAGGAGAGCCACACGCATGATCAGAGGTCAGGAAAACAGAACTTATGATGAGTGGCTGAGCGCTATGGGACTCTTCAGCCTGGAAAAGTGCAGGCTCAGGGGTGATCTGGTGGCCACTTATAAGTTTATCAGGGGTGTTCACCAGGGTCTGGGGGAATGTCTGTTCACCAGAGCGCCCCAGGGGATGACAAGGTCAAACAGTCACAAACTCATTCAGGACCGTTTCAGGCTGGACACAAGGAAGAACTTCTTTACGGTCCGAGCCCCAAAGGTCTGGCATAGACTGCCGCCGGAAGTGGTTCAAGCACCTACTTTGAACACCTTCAAGACAAATTTGGATGTTTATCTTGCTGGGATCCTATGACCCCAGCTGACTTCCTGCCCTTCAGGCAGGGGGCTGGACTCGATGATCTTCCGAGGTCCCTTCCAGCCCTAATGTCTATGAAATCACTGGGGCATCTACCTGCCGCAGCCATGAGCACCCCAAGGGCCTGCCACCTGCTGCTTCTGAACTGCTGGTGGTGGGGGCTGTGCACCACAAACCCGACACCCACCCACAAACCCCCCATACTCTCATACCCACCCACAAATCCCACACCCCTTTATAGCCCCTCGACACTGTCACAAATCCTCCCCACACATACACACACACCACAACCATACAAAGTACCTGCATATATTTCTAAAGACATTTCAAATAATGTTACATTTACTTTAATTTGTAAAACATAAATAAATAAAAATAATTAAATTTACATAATTTTGAGTTTTTCTGCACATAATTTTGAGTTTTTCTGTGCATAATTCCTTGGGGTGTACAGAGTAGTTTCAGCTGTGGCCCCAGCCCTCCCCCAGACTACCTAGGGACTTCTTTACAGCCCACTCCCAGCCAGGGAGCCTGCCCCAAGCCTTCGACCCCTTCACAGCCCCTGCAGGCATGCCCCCAGCTTCCCATCGCTCTGTAGACTGCAGGAGCCTGCTTGCCTGCCCCCTTCCCTCTCTACCTCCTACATGCTACAACTGCATAAAGTGTAAAGCAAACTTTGGAAATGGGTATTTGGAACTAGTTGACCTTAAGCAGTTGTAAGAGTAAGAGTCCACTAAGAAAGCAGTAGTATTTATTTACATCTATTTACCTACATTTAACTCCATTCTCTGTTAATTGTACAGACTAAAGGAATGAAAGAGAAAAAAGTGCGATAGAAATGGCAAATTCAGAGAAAATCCCAGGATTCGTGATAGAGAAGTGAGGCATGTCTTCATGGTAGCAGTGAATCTGTCATTTTATCTTCATGTGTTTTCATGAGCCAGTGGTTTTTACAGTTTTAAAAAATTATTACAGGCTGTTTTAATGAAGACTGAACTGATCACCTCAGTCTGACTGGTGGGGTAACTAGTGACCCCCATTTAACCAGTAGCCCTGGTCTGACCAGTAACACAATTCTAACTGGTGACCCCAGTGATATTTTGTGGCTTGGTTCCCATTGTGGTTCAACAGAACAGGACAAATGATGGTTTGGTTCCAGTTTAGGTTCATATTGGCTGGGCAGCAGGGTTGTGACTTGGGAATAAGGGGCAATAGCATATCATGTCTGCTTAGCACCTCAAAGCAGTTGTGAGGGGAGGGCAACCACAGTTGGACCCACGTCTTGGTGAGTGAGGGGGGCCACAGAAGCTCTGATTTTTCCATGATGGAAAAAAACAAAATCAAATGCCAAAATATATAGGTATTTAGAATTTATTATAGTGATTGAGGCACTGGCAGGCTTCCAAATTGCTTTAAAATTGTAAATAGATCAATAAAACATTGTGTTCAGCTGATACCTAGATCTCTATAGATATCAATATCTCTAGATAGATATAGTGGCCTTTCGTTTTAATTGCAGACTTTGCAGTTTTAACCAGAGAATTTGCAATTTTCAAACAGAGAAAACCAGGATCCCTGGTGACCGCTCAGTTCCCTGTGCTGGTTGCCAGCCCCCGTTTTAGTCATTTCAAAATTCTGGTAATCTGGGTAGCTTCAATGGGGAAAAAGATTTTTGTCCTCTACATCAATGCTCATAACGGTTGAAACTATATAATGGATTTTAAACAATTCAGCCTAAGCACCTCCATTTCAGCTCCATTTTGCACATCACTTAGGCCTGGAATCTAAAACCAGCCAGTCTGTTTCATCAAGTTAAGGCAATCATACCAGGACACAGATTAAGACATGTTTGGAGGTGGGAAAAAATTCCTACAAAAGAAAAGTGCAGTTTTTAAACCGTGTCAGCGAGGCAGAGACCAGCTGTAAGTGATCCCCACATGTGTATGAAATTCTTCCACAAAACGGTTTTTCCTCAGTCATTTTTATCTAAATGGGACTACTGATGCTTCAGGATAAAGCCATTACGGCTTGCTTTGGAGTGGAGTGCACTTGTGTGGAAGTTGTCATGTTACTCAAACATTATCTGGAACAGATGGTCCAATAGACAGAACAGAAATTCTAGCCGCCATCTTGAATTCTATTCATCAAATATTTTAATAGTTATAAAAGAATCAAATACTGATTCAATAAAAACCAGGACATTCCAGATGTCCTGAAGGAAATTTGTGCAACACCAGGAATTGCATGAAAAATACTCATAATTGCCTCAGTAAAACTGCAACGTATGGTTGTTTTCTTCAGAGCGCTACAAAGCTGCAGAGTTTCAGTTGCAAATATTAGAGACACAGGGCACTAGTTTTCACAGTCACTTGATTCCTCCAGTAATGTGAGGTCTCTTACTGTGGTTCAGTTAGTAGACTGATCAGCCTGACAATGCAGCACATGAAGGTCTAACATGGCAATGAGTGGAGGAGGTAGAGGCAAGACTGGCAGCAAAACCAGGGCAATGTTCAATCTCATGGAACTGCACCTACTGCAGTGTTGGTATTCTTGGAGGTGGTGGCCTCTTTGGTGCCTCATATTCTTGTGTTGCATCACCAGAAGTGGAGGAAAGGGGTGACTTCTTGGGCTGGACAAAGGAAGGCATCCTGCCAGAAATCAGTGGGCAACTGGCTCTGGTATGAGAAAGTTTAGATATAAAAACACCTATCACAAAGCAGCCTAGTAGGGGGAGCAAGGACAACAAAAGCGAGCTATAACATGCTTATGCATTGATTGCTGCTAACTCAGACTCTAGACTGAGGGCTCAGACCTGGAGGTAGACTCCCACACTCATTTCTCTCAAGTTTCTTCGTATCTGACACAAAGACATATAAAAGCTATGAGGTGCACTGATTAATCATAAGCCTCATCTATCTTACAGAGATGTACTGTGCTTAAGCAGTGCTCATGGATTAACTAAGCTCATTTGTAACTGATCTTATGGCAGTTACTAAAAGCAAAGACAACACCAAAAAGCTCTGCAGTTACGCAGGTAAGAAGCATGCACACTCCAGTATGAACACTGCTGTTCTTGTGAGTTAATTCTAAATTCTTTCTTTGACCATGTTTTGAGTTATTTCTCTATATTATGACATTATGCTCCTACCTCAGACTGATATTTTCCACTGCCAAGTTTGCAGAACTGATTTCGAGTTTTTCTTCAGCTACCGAGATTCTCCTCTGGATACTTCTCTCCAGTGCTAGCACATTGGCTCTCTGAGGAAAAAGCAATACCAACTAGTTATCGTCTTCCTCTTATAGCTGAACAGCATCACAGCTGGAAGATCCAAAATAGCAGCAAGGATTAAGGATCTGGAGAAATCAGTCTGCACCAGTCTAACCAGAGAAAGTTTTGAACTATAAGCAAGCTGGTATCCCTCACCTCCTTGTTTTTTTTAACATTGCACAGCTCGGGAGTGAGAGTACATGCACGTGCACATTAAGTAACTCAGATTATAAGGTCCACGATGATTGAAACGTGAATGAAGGCTGGGCAGTGATAGTGTAGCAGTGGGGCCCATTCCAAAGACTCAGTCGTAAGAGCAAAGTGGGGGAGTCAGTCCCAGTTGCCAGTCAAAGCAGCACTTAATTTCACTTGCCTTTCACCTCCTTTTTGCTTCTAAAGCTGCCACAATATTCATACCCCTGCAAATAGAGTGCCAATGAATATACCGAAGTAATAATTAGCCAGGCAACAGATCATCCCTGCTACTAAGGTCTTTCAGCTTATTCTCCATAAAACTAATTCTTCAAGGGTTATTAAAGACAATTTACCCCAAGATGAAATGGAATAGTCTAGCCCTCCTCAGGTACATAACTGACTGGATTATACCTGGCAAGCAGTACTTATATTGTAACAAGCCCATGTCAAGCTGAATGTAATGGGGAGAGGATGCATATGCACATAGGAGAGAAAGCAAAAGAACAAGCACAGAAGCTTGTTAGTCACAGGAGCCAGCTGTCAGTAGTACAGATCCTCTGAAAGACCGTAGAAGTGAATAGTTGTAAGTCTTTCTAGTAGATTTCCATTAATGGAAAATCTGCTCTTGTGAAACCAAGGGGAAAATCCACCCCTACTATGACAGTCTGAATGCAGAAGTAGATATTAATAGAGTGTCAAAGAAAAGCACGGGAAAACTCTGCCGGAGAACTGCAAGCTCTAGAAAGGACAAACAATGGAAGCAGTGAGAGCTTGCATATTCAGACACGTTCATCAGTTCTGAAAGAGCTCTTTAGCATGAGGGAGTTTCTCATTAGGTGAGACAAGGCCTCACTGCATAGTATTAAAACAGATATCCTCAGCACAGAGGATATCTGGGTAGCAGGTCTCCCTGATCTATGCCTTTCTGCCTTTGCATATGCTTGTAAACTCGGTAAACATATTCTGCTTCAGTAACATCTGTGGCTGGATTCCCCAGACCTCCAATTTCTGATCCTCACTCTAGCCTCTCCCATGTCTCCATTTTGTGTTCCACTCAACACTCTGCAGCCTCTAACTCCTGCATCTGCTACTAGCCTCCCAAATTCAACATTGTTCCTCTGATTAAGAGAAAGGACGGTGGCTTGCAAAGGTTTTTCATGGTAATAACTTCAGTTCATGAGTGCTTATCCAAAAGACAGGGATTATTACACCTACCAGTTAAAATCCCAGTCAGGAAAAAAGTACAGAACTTAATGTCCAAGATGAAAACTATTCTGACACCAAGCTTAAACACAAGCCTATTTGCTGTTTGGACAATATCCATACCACCTTAACTCTGTCTCTGCTCCAACTAATCCACACTTTGAGATCACTATATTCCAGCTCAGAGAAGTTGATCCATGTGTTTGTAGACTGCTGCAGTGGAATTCTGGTCTGAGAAATTACTTTGAGCCAACTAAGAGGGAAATCAATGCTGTTTCGCAGTCATCTCCAGATCAAATGTGCACAGTTTATAAAATAAAATGTTACTTAGGACAATATTTTCAAAAGCCTCCATGTGACTTAGGAACATAAATTCCGCTATAAAAAGTAATGTAGGTACTTGGGAGTCTAGTCTGTGCTGAAAAAAATCAACAGGGCTTAGACTTCCAAGTGTTTGGGTTGATTCTAAAAGTTGTGCCTTGCCTGTTTTCTTCAACTGACTGCCCTCCACATGTGTGATGAGATCAGAGTATTACTGAAGACCAAGGGCCTCAGTGTAAAGTCCTGGTCATTACTTCATGTCCCCAGTGACACCTGGTAATCCTATTGCTGTTGGTGGCGTTGTATGCTGGTAATGGAAGCTGGGCTGTGACAGTGCAGCAGTGGGGCCCATTCCACATGGAAATGTAGTGCACAAGTTTGAATAGCAGCCAGCTCACTTATTCATAGCCACATTGGCTCGCTGGTGTTAACAGAATTAAAAAGTATGAGCGTTTTGTTACCAAAGTCAGCACACCTGACAGAACACTTGGGAGGGAGGAAGAAGGAGGGCTTCTCTTCACAGCAGAGAGTCTGATTAAAATGCATAGAAGCAAAGAAATTCAGGTTAAGTCTGAACGCCTGTGTCCTCACCCTACACATATGCTTAGATATTTTAGGTATCTTAAGCTTCCTGGCTAAGTTCAGACATTCAAAGAGCCCAAGGTGGAATTGGCCTAAGTTACACAGTTTTCTGTAAGCAGCATAGTTTAGATCAGTATGATGTTATGCATTAGCTGTGCTATAGTACATGTGAGCAATGCACTTCTACCTTCACTTCACAAGTCAGGATTTTGGTGTATGCTATGAGGCTCAGACTTCTCAGTACTGCAGCCTATGCCTTCCCTAAGCTTAAACACCTCTGCCAAGTCCTTCAAGCTACCTAGCAATGGAACAGGGTTTTGGTGTATGCTGTCAGCACTGAAGCATCCAGTTTTCCCTATAAGGGAAAGAAGAACGCTAATGCCTTTCTGCCTTTCCATTTAAGAAATCTCCACTCCTTGTCTGTGGCTCTTCTGACCCTCAGGCATGCAGTCATCTGCTCATGTCCCTTTCCATTCCCTAACAGTCTGCTGTAATCATGGGATGGCTGTTATATAACCTGAGGAAACAGTCTATTAACGGGGACCACAGCCAACCCCTGTGATCCATCTATCCTCTCCAGCACAGGCCCATCTCCACCGTTATGAATTTCCAACTGCCACCAAGACAAGCCACTGGCTGGTACCTTCATTACTACATTCATTCATAAAGAGCAGACTGTATGGATCAGGATAATGGGTCCATATGGAAGTGAAATAATCTATCTGGTCTCAGAAGCTACTGCTCAGCACAGCTTTGAGGGTACAGGAAGGAGAATGGTGTTTTACACAGCTCAGTGGAATCTCGGTAACTCCGTATAAAGCAGCCACCGCTTCCTGTGGGCCTACTGCTGGAACCCCAAGAAAGTCAGCAGAGAGCCCTGTTTTCATGACTTCTTGCACCACAGGCTCCCACCAGCTCTTCTTACCTCATTCTGAAGCTCCAACTGGGTGGTGTGCAGCGCTGAGCTGAGCGCTTCAAGTGCTTTATTCTTTTCCTTCAAATCTATTTCCAGCTTCTTCATCAGATAAAAAAATCATGGTCTCCTTTAGCTACAGCACACTCTAACATCTATAGCACAATATACAACATAGTTCCAGCCAGCCCTTAATAGCCATATTCTTTCCCTCCCCGACTCCCCCCAAGTTACCTTCTAGTGATATTATTGGTACCACTTGGTGGAAGGGGGAAGGGAAGGAGTGGGAGGGGAGACAGCAGCAGGCTGAAAAGAAGCAAAGACCCACTGTATTCTGCTTTACATGCTGCTTTTACAGGGCAGATTTGTTCCCATTCTTTGGATCCAGTTAGTTACTTGCAATATCCCCTTATTTAATTTGGCTACATGGAGGTAAAGCCTAATTTCAGCATATGGGCTTGATTTCTCCTTCCCACACAAAGCTGTGGAGGCTGAAGGTCACAGAGGACTAGGCTACATGTAAAGAGGGAGTCATTTTCCTGGGCTCCCTCTAAGGGTTGGCTGGGGAAGTCCAGCTCTTAAGTTACCGCCATGGATCTAGATCAATTGTTCTCAACCTTTTTTGCACCAGTACCCATTTGTAAACATCAGTGACCAGTCCCAACCCAGTGCCTCTCATTCCCAAACCACTGGCCCCTGGCCCCAGCTTCCCAGTCTGTGGGGTAGGGTGAGGTGTGTGTAGAACATGGGAGGCCCCAGGCAGCCTCTTGCAGGCTGGAGCTCTGCTAGCCTGCAAGGGAAAAGGCACGGTTTCCCACATTTTTCTCCTTTAAAGTAGAATCCATTTTTTAAAAGTTTGTTGAACCATTTTTAAAAGTTTGTTTGTGACGCTTTCGTATATTCTTGTGACCCTGACCCCATTTTGGGTCACAACCTACAGGTTGAGAAACACTGATCTAGATGGCCTAGTACACGCACTAAATCCTTAGAGTCTTCAGACAAGTTAGCTATGCCTCTGGCGGGCCAGCCATGCCCTCTGGGTCGGTCTTTTCTGGGTAGAGTGTAGGTGTTCTAAAAGGACCAAGAGAACACTGCTGTCAAAGAACCAGAATGACGATTTCTTTTCATATGCAAGTTGCCATTAACTCCACTCAATTGTCCTCCTCCTATAATTAGGGGCAGTGTACACAGTGGAAGGTGATCAGAGAGTACCACAGGACCTTTCTAAGAAAAAAAACAAACCCCCCTGCACCCAGTACCTACCTTGTTTCGTCTACACGCGGCCTAAGGTGCTTCTGCTTTATTTTAACAGTCTGTGCTCTCTAGCTTGATACCACCCTTCACGGTTGAGGAAGATCAGCCATATAGACACAGACGTCTTGATACTGCAGCCTGTACTCCTCACAAGCTTAAAACCGCTGCCAATTCCCTCCAGGTGCTTGGTGATAGCACGCTACTCCCAAACCAGCATGTCCCAAATGGCATACAGTTGCTCCATACTTACCTCCCTGCACTTCTGCAAGTCTTCTATTGTTGCCATATCTTCCTGGCGCTGTTTAATAAACTCCTGAAAACAACAGAGTTTGTTCAAAGCTCAGATATAACATTTCTGTGCTTGATGGCAAACACCAGCTTCAATCTGAACAAACAAGTCAACAAGTTATTTCAAACTGTTCAGCAGAAATACAAGCAAGTGGTTAATTGAAAGGTGTTTACCATTCCTCACTCCTACGACACCTGGGATTGAAAGGAAATATCCTGTTACTAAGGGGTCTAACCCAGGTTACCCTCCTTTCTTGGTGCTTAGAGTACTTGGTCCTTGTCTGTAGGGCTGTGCAAACCTTCAGTCCCCGATTTGATTCAGCGGAGATTCGGCCCAATTTGGTGGCTTAATCTCCAAATCTGAATGGAATCAGAGGACCCTTTAATCTCTCTGAATCTATTTGGACAGATTTGGTGATTCACACATAGATACAGCTTTAAAAGTTTTTTCTACATACCTCTAGGTAGCAGGGGCTTTGAATGCTGCAGCGCTGGGCAGCTGCAGTGTCCCACAGAAGCTCGGGGGGCTCCCTAGTGTGATCGGCAGCAGACCCGAAAGTGGATCAGAGCACTTCTAAGTCCACCAGGGAGTGTGCTGGGGGGGCCACCCACACCCTCCTGGCTCGGCGACTGGTGCCTTGTGGGTCTGGGGGGCACGCAGGGTCCCCCCAGTATGCTCCCCATCAGACCCAGAAGTGGACTTCTGGTCCACTTCTGGGTTTGCTGCCAAGCACACTGGAGAGCCCCCTGTGCTGCTGTGGGACACTCCATCCACCCCAGCACTGCAGTGATCACAAGCCGTGCTGCTACCTCAAGGTACAAAGAAAAAACTTTTAAAGCTGTGCCTGTGTCCGAATCACTGATTTGCCAAATCAGCATCGAATTGTCAGATTTGGGTTCAGCCGAATCGAATCGGGGACAGTGATCTGAATCAACAGATCGAATCGCTGTCCCCAATTCAGGTTGAATCTGAATCCAAATCAAATTTCACACACCCCTACTTGTCTGATGGCAGCTGGCTAATGGGTAGGGCTGCTTGGTTTCTCACATCCAAGATGGGATCGCACAGTATTTCAAATGGCTCAAGAGGAGCTGCCAAGAAAAAAACAACACCCAAAAACCAACACCACCACTTGGTATAATCAGCTGTAGCAAAGTACTGCAGCTGCAATCACTATTGCCCATACTCCACCCCCTTCCTTGAATCTGCACACCTGCTTCTCTGTCACATTGAATGAAAATTTTTGTATGTTTTCACCATTATGTCTTCTGCCTTAACTTTAGTTTGACCTATGCTTATGTCCACCACTTCCCTCCTCTTCAAGTCTGATAATTTACCTGCTCTGCCACAACTGTCACTTTGCCTCCCTCATCTTCTCCTCTCATGTTCTATGGCCTCAAACTTGGTTGCCAAGCTGACACCCCTCTTAATAAAGTTCAGGATTTAACTTTACATTTGAAGGTATAAAGAAGAAACCACAATTAGAACAATTCCCACACTAACAAGCGAAAGATAAAATGACCGTCATAACTTTGAGGAAGACACTCTTTGGGAAGCAAGTAAGAGGAGAAACCTGCAGACACCAGGAGTCTATTGCTAAAGCAGCATCAGTGATCACTGAAAATGTAATGGATGCCACCATATAGCATTTATACAGTGTTAAACACCACTTCCATCTTGTAACACTCCAGGAAGATGGGTCATTATCCCCCTTTTATAGTAAGTGCATGCTGAGAGAACACCCAAGACCCCTCCTTCACTAGCACCTTACTAGTTGATTAGGTTGGGATGGTCCAAAGAATAGGGTGATATCAGAAGATCTGACTTCTATTCCTTAGCACCATAGACCCATTTCATATGTTTGGGCCAGCCTTTTACCTGTGTCTGAGATCTATGGATGAGATAGCCTTACCAAATCCCTACTCCAAAATGTATTGCCATGATAGCAGCATAGTGATTTTAGCATTGGATCAGCTCTGAGAGATGCCCAAACAAGACTTCTGGGTCTGCCAGGAAGTAACACAATAAATGACAGTTCAGGTGAGCACAGTATTGTGCTTTCCTGTTTGCCAGTTATGGTTATCATTTACTTTACCCTGCTACATGCAATCTCTCTACACATAATTATATTGCATTAGGCTCCTAGAAGTCTTGTGCAATGGGAGCCTGAGAAAAATTCATACATTTATTATATACTTGCTTCTGTTTTCTTGGCACCAAAAGCTCAGAAGAAACTGCAAATAAACATGTGACTTCAGAAGTTTCATTCTTTCCCAGAGCTAGTTACCTCTCTCTCTAGCTGGTAGAGTTTATCTGTCATGGAACTATTCTCCTGATGTAACTTCTTTATTTCCTCTATTTCTTTCGTAAAATTCTTCATCAGTGCCTGCTCTGTGGAAAAACATGCAGAGATATGATGGGCTGCTCCCTATTAATCCTTTTGCATTTCACAGATTAGGGATACAAATGTGCAGCAGTGCACCATATCTGGATGGACTCTGTCAACATGCAGCCATTCTCCACCACTAATACTGTGGCACCTGTATGCTGGATGGCAAAATGCATCACAGACGGGCCTGAAGAGGAATGTTCTCACAGTCACCTCCCATTTCTACAGCATGTGCATGTGTGCTCTGTTATTTCTCCAGTCACTGTATTTCTTCCTCCTCTCTTCGATAAGGTAACTCTGGAGTAGTCACTGATATCACCCTGCAAAGCTCAATTACATAGTTAACGTGTGATGTGCTATGTAACCTGGAGTGCCTTTCTATCAGGGGTGCATTTCCCACTCAGTGGGCTAGCAGGAAAGAAGGGAGAGCATTCCTATAGTGACTTTATGGAGAAAACATCTCTTCTATCCTAAGACCTCATTCACATTTACCACTAAAAGGTTATTTCCTTGCTGTTTTTAAATCCCTGAAGTTGCATGGTTGGTCTCAACCCAGGAGTACTTTCTTCTAATCAGGGATTGAACAAAGGACATCTCTTAGAAGTCATAGACACATTGCAAACACTAAAGCAACTTGGTATTTTATTCAGTGAATGAAAAGGACATAATCAAGAGCACCTGGTTGTTTTAAAGCAGCCAGGCCCCAAAGTATCTGAAAATGATTGGGGTAATCTGGGAAAAGTAAAGCAAGCTTAGCAGCCAACAAAGGAAATGTGAAACCAATGACCATATTGGCAAGGGGACTTAGAGGAGGTGCAGTACTTAGATCTACTTATGCCTTATTTATTTTGATTCACTACACTTCTACCCAAGTCTCCCTTTTGGGGAAAAATGCTTGCCCTAACACCTGGGGACTCTGCCTCCCTTCCTCCCCACCCCTTGAAAAAAAACCAGTCCTCCAGGTTGTAAAGCCAAACTTTGTTCCTTACTTTGCTGTAGCAGTGCCTTCTCCCGCTCAGTCCTCTCACTCTTCTTCCATTCTGCCTGCCTTCGCAGCCACTTCTCCTCCATTTCATCAGAAATGCTGTCCTACATAAAGAGAAGCCCTTGTCTTAGAGTAGGACAGAAAGAGACGATATGCATTTGCAGAAACCCTTCCAACAAATTGAGGACTCCTGCATCTCCCCTACTGACTCCGTCTATACTACATACAACACTTTGTAATTATTTCTGTATCTGTTCCTCCTGAGAACTTTACAAGGATGTTCTGCTTCAGGCTAGGAGACAGTGACAGCAGGAGGAAGATGTTTCAACAAGTAGCAGCATCTATGGTCCCTGAGTATGACTTTATCCTTCTTAGGAGAGACATGCCACCTCCTCTAGAAGCCCTTGAAGTTATGCTCCATGATTCAGAGGGCGTACGCCTCTTCTCTGGCTTTCTGATGTACTTCCCTCCCTCATACATAGAAAACAGAGCAGAGCAGGGAAACGCCTCCCATTAAAGTCATTGGACTAACAGGGCCTCACCTACTTTCAAGGATCACTGCAGGGTAGTTGAAATCTTACCTGATACATCCGGAATGCATTCCTCAAGTATTTGTATTGCTTCTCCAACCCCTCTGAGCAAGACAGAAGGACACAATTATGGAATATGGCAATTTTAATAATCCAAGTCTCAGCAATTGGGATTTATACTAAAATCCTGGATAGAAGTCACAGGAGAATGGGTTCTGCATCTTATCCCAGGCCCCACAAAACAGCATTCAACAAAATGCCAGGTAAGCTTTCCCTGGATGTCATGATTTGCTTAGATACCTGATCAATCAAGAAAATGGATGAGGCCTTATTTGGAGTAAAATCTTTCAAGAACACCCATATGAGGCTTTGGTGCCATTGGATCTGGTCAATAGCTTTAATTCTGCCTCAAATGCGGCCCCTACTCAAAATTCACCTCTCAACCAGGTCTATTTATTTTTTCAACGTAACCCTGACATTTCAGAGATAGGGCACTCTCCTACACCACACATCCATCTTTAACAATTCTACCTCCCTCTGCTGCCCATTGGCATCAATGACAACAGTCCTTTTCCAACTCTATTAGCTTCCACCATCAAACATGGAGGACAAAGTGAAGCAGCCAGAGGAGAACTCAGTTGAAGTGTGCAGCTCACAAAGTAACCTTGAAAACACAGATCATTACTTGCATAGCAATACCCAGTTTTTCTTGTGCAGTCGCCCTCTCGGTTCTCAGCTCTTTCCTATAACATTCCTGTAATTCAGCAAGTTCTGAACTGTGAGTCTCTTGGAGTTCCCTACAGAAGTAACATACAAGCAAACCACATAAATACAGGTATCCTTATGACACAGCAGTTCTCCTCTGACTACTCTATTATTCATAGTGGTGATGTGGTTACATCATGTGTCTGACAAGTGCACGTCTATATATAAATAAGATACATATATCAGAAAGCAACGTAGGTAGTCTATGAAGGCGCATAACTACTCTGCTTTCTGACTGACTTCAGACTAACATGACTACCTACCTCTCTCTCTGGTTAACGAGGCAGCATGGCAATGTGTTTTTTGTTAGATGAGCAAGTTTATATGCATTATATATAGCACAAGATTATGAACCCACATTCACTCCATCAGACGCTGTCTTGTTAACCCATCCATACAATATGTAAGTCCTTGTACAGACAACTAGAAGTGTGCGTGTGTGTGTGCATGCGCATACACACATGTATGTGTTTTCTCTTTTTGTGTAACATAGCAACCATACCTGATCTTATTCTCGTGCTCCTTTTGAATCTCATTACATTTTTCTTCCATCTCATTTTCCATCTTCAAAGAAAAGAAGTAGTCATTAGGGCTGTGCGAAATGGCACATTCCATTTTGATGGTTCAAGGGAACAGCATTCAGTTTCAAATTTCATTTCAAGTCGAAACAGCTGTTCCATTCTGGCAAAACAGAAAGGGTGTTTCGAAGCTGTTTCAACATTTCGCTGGGGATGGGAAGTCAGCCTAGCTGGGCTGACTTCCCATCCCCAATGCTACATCATGCATCCCCCACGTTAGATCACACTGGGGCAGCAAGCCAGCCCAGCTGGGCTCCTCTCCCATCCCCATCCCTCCCGCCCCCAGTGCAATCTAGCACAGGGGATGGGGAGCAGCCCAGCTGGGCTGCCTCACTGTCCTCGGCACAATCCAGCTGGGCTAGTTGGGCTGCCTCCTTCCCCTGGCGCGATCTAGCACTGGGGAAGGGGATCTAACGCAAGGGCTGGGGAGTCAAGCCAGCTGGGCTGACTCCCTGTCCCCTGCCAGATCTTGCGCTGGGGATGGGAAGTCAGCCCTGCTGGACTGACTTCCCATCCCCAGCCTATGGTCAAAACGTTTCAACTTTTGAAATGTTTCAACTAGCCTTGTTTTGTTTCAGGGCTATTTTGACATCTTTGTTCCAATTTTGCTGTTTTGACCTCGAAATTGGTCAAAACAGTGTCAAAATGAAACAGCCAGTTAAATTTTGCACACCCCTAGTAGTCATCACTAAGCTGCAAACATACCTACCTTGTCATCAGCAGCAGAAGAAAACTTCTGCTAGAAATATATCTCCAAGCAGGCTACTGAAATCTGGCCTGAGATGGGCTCAGAACTACACCTAACCCGTTAAACTGCAATTCCAATCTTGAAGATTTTTTCCACTATTTTTTCCGTTAAACAATATGGAAACCTTTGAATCCTTGGATGCTTTTGCAAGGTACTTTTCTTTTCCCAAGAGATGGCCCATTTGTATAGTGTCACCAGCTGAAATCAGAGCAATTCAAAGTACACTTCTAGAAGTCAAAGCAGAAAGGCTATTCCATGTGCAAGCTCCAAAGGTGCACAAGACAGCAAAACACCTATGAACTCAGGTGGTTTTAAAAATCCCACCTGCCCAGAAGCTGCTGTTGCCCATGATGAATACACATCTACATGCCTGGATAAATATGCATTCAGGGTATGTTCATGCTGCTTTCATGGTGCTCCCAAGGGAGTACCACTGTCCACCATGCCCCATCCACCCACTCCTGTTCCGTGTGGATCAACCCCAGAAATGAGGCAGTCGACATCACTTTCCTCCTGCTGCTTTTGAGCATGCTGGAGATAGAAGAGCAGGGAAGCTTCACTGCTTCATTTCTGGAATTGGTGCACGTGGAGTGGTGCTCCCAGGAGTGCTGCAGAAATGGGATAGACTATTGGTTCTCAAGCTTTTTAGTCTCATGGCTTCCTCCATAATTTTTCTGATTTAGTGTAACCCTGATTGATAATCACTGAGCTAGAATCTAAACTCACAACAGTTATGAAGGGAGACTTGAGGGTAAAAAGTTTAAGAACCACCGATTTATCTGGCGTTAGGTAGCAGGGGCAGGATTTCACCCTGCTGTGCCCTGCTCTTTCTATCTTCTGCCTTCTCCCTGTCTCTAGTCTTTACCTGAGGGGTAAGAGTGGTCCCTGCAGCTGAAGCCCATGCTCAAGCCTCTCACACACTAGTGACTAGAGCCATCTGCACCTGCGGCCCCTCCTGTCAAGCTCTGGGAGCATGGGAGGGTTTAGAAAGCACACCTCCACAGCCCCACAGCAAAGCACACTGCTCAGAGCTTGGGGGTAACTTGCACCGGGGTTGCTGGGGGGTGAGGGAGAACAGCAGTGGCAGTCCTGAGAAGAGCAGCTGTGGACACTGCTTGTCTTTGGGACACTGGGGCAGGCATGGGACATTGAACTGGGGGAAAGAGGGCACTTACCATCTTGCACAGGGGCTCAAGGGGATCTTGTATCACCCCAGTTAAGAATCATTGGTATAGACACCCTCTGTGCCTTGGCTTCTGCATCTCTGTGAAAAGCACTAGACAGTGCCCTTCCTCTGGACACTGAATCATTTACATGTAATTTGGCCAGCTGGGCTCTGTGGACCATTCTGAAAGGATCCAGGACATTCTGCCTGGCCTATTCAGTCTATTTTATGAGCAACTGGGATTTGTAACGTACTTTCTAGAAAGAGAAAGGCAACAACCAATGGACCTGCCTGTTTCTGAGAGGCCTTGTGATCTCTGCATTGCTGCTCCAACATGTCTGTCAGCTGGGCAACCTGTTCCTCCAAATCAGCAACAATATCTTCCCTACAAAGATACACCATCCCTTCGTCACACCCAGGGCCTGCTATTAGGACCACCTTGTTGCATCAGAAGGACCAGGGGTGAAAATGGGGAAAATATCACTATCAGAATGCTCTGGCTGGAGCTGGTCTTAGCTCTTCATTCTCCCTGCTGCTTCAGCCCACATAAATTGGGAAAAAGAGATGTTGTAGGATAGGACTCCAATTCCTTTCCCCACTCTATCTTACTACAGAGGCTGAGGGTTTATTGTACACTGGGGCTTCCTTTTACATCCTTTTGGCCACAGCAATTTATTTCCTATTCCCTTCAGTACAGGAAGACTCAGACGAAAAGCAGGTTTTGCTCCTCTGCTGGTATGGTTGTGTCCTATGCCACTTGCCTCAATGATTGGGAGAGAGGCTGCAAATAGAGACGGCCACTGGTCAGAATCTGAGCCATGGGGAAGAAGTGGAACACCTTAGTGTCTCCAGTTTAATTTTGTGCTATGTTTGGTGGAGTTCTCCAACTATTGCAACTCCAAAAGGGACCAGCCCACAACTCTGGAAATTTGATTAGCTGGTCAAGGCACCTTTTGTACTATTCCTTATCTTAAAGGATTTCTTTTCTCATGACAGAGAGAAGGGGCATTTCTCAGCATGGAATTACAGAATTTCAGATCATACAGATAACACTGTCTTTCAGGCTGATTACTTTTTAATCTGATTGCGTGTGGTGTTGGAACCTAGTGGTCAAGAAAAACTAGATGGTGAACATTGTACTGTTCACTCCAGATGTATACATACTGCTTCCATAGTTTCATAGTAGGTAGGGTTAGAAGGGACCTGAGCAGATCATTATGTCCGACCCCCTGCCACGGGCAAGAAAGAATGCTGGGGTCCATGGCACTCCCTGCCTATTAAGGCCTGAAAGAAGGAGAGGCAGGGGCCAGGCTCGCATCATATCAGCAACCATATATTGAGATGGACACAAGAGCAATGGTAATAGAGAAAGCATCAGCACATTTAAAGGAATATATGCAATTGAGTGTAGCTTAATGGACATCATGTTTGCATAAGTACTAGCACCTGAACCAGAGCTAGGCTCAGCATGCACCTCCCACAAGGTTTGGATGTGCTAGGTTCAGCCACCTCCTCTGCGTGTATTCAGCTCTCTTTAGAAGAAACCCTGGTCAGTCGTGTTGAATGGCTGCTAATCAAACACCACCTGAACATACACACCATTCTTATAAGATCTTACATTTAAGAATTGTTTCCTTTATGGGGGATGTACATTGAGATTCCAGCGTCTAGCCCTCATTTCATAACAAAATGGCAAGACAACAAATGGTGCATCTTCAGGAAGAAATGAGGATATTACTTTGTATGTAAAAGCACATCTTACTGTCGCCAGTCAACCAAGCAGCAGCATTCAAAGGAAGGAACGAAGCCAGGTTCCCCACAGGTGGTGACAAGAAACATACAGAAGGTAGAAAAAATTCAATCCATTTTGACACCCCACAAATAACCAATACTCACGTCTCAAGTTTCACAGGGGCTCTGCAAAGAGAGTAAAAGAGGAAACGGACATCAAAGTGGTGCAGGTTGAATCAGAGCAGATGATGCATCTGTTGTGAAACAAAAAGCTGGATGTATCTAAGTGGATCATCAAGTTTTCTCATGTTTATTCCCTGAGCAACTGCTCCAATATACATGTTTACACAAAACAATGACGAGGCCCAGACTGTTCAGCTTTCTAATACAGACAGAGCATAGTTCTGGAAAGTAGACTGGTTGGAAGGCAATAATTAGGTACTTTAAAGGCAAGTCAGAAACAAAGTACTCATTCCTCTTACATTGCATGAGACCTGACAGTTAACACACGTATGAGGGTGGGTGCACCAAAGTCTCTGCTGCTTGAAGAAAGCAGTACTTAGACACTGCTTCTTCTAGAGGTGGAGATTATCAGATCTCTTTACTGCTCCTGCATTTAGGACTTGAGTAACCCTTCTCTCTCCCCAAGGCCAGGGCTTTCCCATTTTTCTCTATCTGTTATTTATCTTTGAAAAGCTTCAAAGACAGCATTTCCACACCCCACCCCACCTTCCCCACCTTGGCAAGAAGGAATGAGACTCCCCTCATTGAATAAAAGTCATTTTAATAGCAGCCCTCATGTCAGCTCCCATTTGATCTTGGAAGATCATTAAGGCTGAGAGCACGCAAGGCTTGGAAAAAATTGGGCAAGTCTTGCAGAAAACCTGCAGAGGTGCTATCAAACTTACCGAGCATGCCCAGCTGTTTGACATTTGTACAGTTGTTGGAGGAAGATGTTGCAAAATGAGGAATGTGACACTGAACTCACACAAACTAGAAATCCAGAGCAAAGAAATCCAATTCTGTCTGCTTACTTAAAGTAACTGGTCTTCCAATTTATGCACACAAGAGATGAATTGGACTCAAGATCTCTCCTTCAATACACGACCAATTCTGATCTCATGTTAGCTTTTTATTGGTGTAAAAACAGGACTAGACAGAGGCCTATTTGCCCATGTAGAGCATGTTCATTAGGGAAAGCTTATTTGGAAACTCAAACAGCATTCTTGCCAGTGATCTTGTTTTCTATTACCTTGGAGTGATAGGTGGAGCTGGTTCATCAGCAGTTCTTTTCCTTTCAAAAAATCCCTCCCCTAGAGTCACATAGAGATGTTCTTTACTCCGAGTGAACTTGTAGCCAGGTGAGATTTCTACAAACTCCACTGAAGCCTAGGAGCCAAAAGAAAAAGACCTTTAACTAAGGAAATCTAGTATCTAGAAACTTAGATCCATTAAAAAACTATTTTAAATGAAACAAGACTTCCTTAAGACTACTCCAATTGCCAGCATTAAAGAACACAGACTGATATTGGCAGCAAACAATGTTCCAGGCAATATAACCATGGGAAGCGTCCTCACATAGGGCATAGACAGATTACCAAATTCCCTGGTATAATTTACATCCATTTCTACATCAATTTAAGTTACATTAGGACCAGGGACAGCTGGACACCGACACATTGATAGCTGGATAGAGTAGGCAGCTATTACTGCACCATGCCATTAGGTGGCAGGGAAACAGGTCCCTATAAGGGAACTATGCTGAGATGGCTGCACAGTTATCTAGACAAGTATAACTTACACTGGTTGATTTTTACTCCTGATTCTTTCAGAAATAACTTTACACCGTTCACATTGTCTACCTGTTGTTTTTTTATGCTGGTAAAACATCAACTAAAACATTGCCTGAGTTAGCACTTGCACTAAAAGGAAAGAGCATCATGTGCCAAATCAAGCACCTTCCATGATGCAATATAAGAAGATGCAGACTTCTGTACAATTTAAACACAGACAATTATGGAGTAGGACTAGCACTGAATTGAATGGAACAAGGATATCAGTGCAATGATACATACAGCAGGTAATTGCATTTTGCATTAGCTGAAGTTTCAAAAGGATCTTGAACCACAGTGCTAAGAGTGCATTACAGCAGTCCAGGCAGGAAGCAACAAAGGAGTAGCTGACAATCATATGTCCACATTCAAGTAAAGGATATAATTTCCCAACTAGATGAATAAAAAGTGTGAGGGCTGGGGCCCAAAGTCCTACAGCACCAGACCATGAACTAGTTCACTCAAAAAAACCCCATAGCCCTTCTTTCTGAATCAAAGCACAACTCTTCTAAGTGGTCCCAAACAGCTCGTACCACCATTTTTGCACATTCAGGGCTATCATAGTGAGCTTGCTTTCAGCTAGGGTTCCCATCTGGCTAGACAGAAGGGGGGCAGTATAGTATAATATCTTAAATTTACCTTAACTCTTAAATCCAGAATTCCTGAGTGACTTGAAGTCACACAAAAGGTCATGGAGCCTTTTAAAGTTACTTCACATTTCTACTGGATTTAAAGGGATGCAACAATCAGAATGCAATAATGTTTTATTTTCAATCTCCTGTTTTTCTTCTCTAAAAGATGTGTATTTGTATGCCTACAATGGAACATGGTCGCTAACATCCTGCTGAAGACCTGCTCTTCAGATTCCTAACCTGGACTATGTAACAATCAGAGACCAAACTGATTACAGAAGATCCAGCCCAAGTTGTGTCCCTCAGATGAGCCAAATATAGCAACTACTAAATTCGGATCAATATTTTGCTTCAAGAATCTTTTCATTAGTTCAAGAAATTACTTAGTGCACTAAATTTAGGACCAGAGTTTAGACCCTTAAAAACTAGAACATATTTGAGGAGCAGGAGTGGAAAAACAGAAATCCAGACTCTTGACTCCTAAGTTAGGATTTTTTTACCCTTCTACAGTAAATGTTACTATCTTACTTACATCAGGAGGTTCTCTCCGACGTTGTGAAGACCCATCTTTTTTAGTGGAAAATATTTTCCTACAAATGAAGAAAACTTGCTCAAAGAATTGCAGACAGAATAAAAAATTGTTCAGAGAAATCACTGCTTCATTTCAAGCATTATAACCATGAGCATGCAGCTGAAACAGCTTTTGTGGGCTGTCAGGATGGTGCAGAAAGTCCAAAGTGCTTAGCTATGTATTGTTTTATGGATGCAGTGACCAAACTGAAAGGTTTTGAGTATTAGTGGAAATCGATTGGCGTTAAGAGCATATAGTCTTTTAAAGGTTTTATAGATTACCTTGCCTGAGGCTCAGGCCACATTCAGTGAAGGTAGGATAAGCAAAAAGAAGAGAAACAATAGGACAGCACTTTGCAGAACAGGGAATGTAATTTAGTCAGTAAACCCTGCGAGTGGGAGCCACTGTTATTAACTGGCTGCTCAACAGTAGAGATGTATCCAGAAAACTTTTCTATGATTTGTAGTTTTACAGAAGTCACAGTTCTCATGGCATAGAGAGGAAGTTGGTGGGTAGAGATGCACAAACCTCCTTGGGGTATTCCAAGTTTCTACAGCAAATTGGATTCTATGCAACTGAGCACGTGTGCTATTGGAGAAAACCAGAGAGGGATGAGGTACAGGGTTGTGAATCTCTCATGTCTTTCTTTCAAAACCATCACCATGAAAAGCACTTTAGTCTATAGATTAGACAGCACTAGAGGAGAATAACAGAGATTCAGGGAGCTTAGAAGGCCAAAGGAGACCTTTCCTTAAAATTGCTCAGTGCAGAAGATGCTCTACATTAAAAACTGCAAGTTATTTTGTTACCCTACCCTGCATAAAGAGAAACTACTAAGTAGGCAGAAAGAGAGCTTAAAAGGTACTGCTGAAAGGTTGAGAGAGAGGAATATTAAAACCCACAACCAGATGGCATGCTGCTTCTTCAGATTTAAGATGTTAAGTGATTGTTCTTAGCTTTGGCTGTATCTGCTTCTTTCCCAAACTGAAAAATGGCACTTAATACCATAACAGCTTGTTTAAAATCAATCCCAACTATACAGTTTGTCCAGTTACTTAAGACTGTGTACATTACTGTGCAATTAAAAAGCTCCAAACTTTAGTTATGCCATATACCTTACATGTTTGCACAATACAACCAGCTACATTTTTTGAGGATATTAGTGCTATATCCTACACAGAACCATTGCTTATAACAAGAATGGGATTCAAAAATCAAGCAACAATTCCCCCAGGAGATAAACATGGCACGCAAAGACTGGCAAGACTCCACATCTGTAAATGGTGTCAGGTCTTTGGACATCTAGGGCTAGGGACAGACATTCAAAAAGCTGGAGCCTGAATTGATTCTATCTTTGCAGGTTAGTCTAACCTGCCTAAGCTTAACTAGTTTGTAACAGGACAAACATTCGCTCTGGACTGAGACAATGCTGCCTGCAGTTGCTCAGGCCAGGCGCTGGGGGCAGTAGAGCAGGCCTCCGCTGCAGGGGAGAGGGGGGAGGCATGGCCAGTCCCAGCTAAATTGGCCAGGGAGAGGTTTAGTTCCCCCTCTCTATCCCACTGGCAGGGACCCAAGCCAGGTCTGCCGGGTGCTCCCCATGCACTGCTGTAGGAAAGAGGGTTTGCGGGTGGGGGGTATTTAGTCTTCCCTCTTTTGACCCGGGTCTGCCCACCCTCCCTGCCATGTTCTCTTCTCCCTCCCAGGGGCCCTACCTGGCTGTGCCCCTGTGCCACCGCTGCAGCAGGAAGGGACAGGGCCCTTATTGGGGGAAGCATCCCCTGTCTTAATTCATAGATGCTAGGGTCGGAAGGGACCCCAACAGATCATTGAGTTCGATCCCCTGCCTGGGTAGGAAAGAGTGCTGGGGTCAGATGACCCTAGCCAGATGCCTATCCAGCCTTCTCTTAAAGACCCCCAAGGTAGGGGAGAGCACCACCTCCCTTCTAGATTTTGGCCACCCTTACCATGAAGAAGTTTTTCCTGATATCCAGCCTAAATCTGCTTTTGGTCAGATGTGGGGGATTGGGCCCCTTCCCGGCAGGGGTGCTGCGCTGTGGGGCTGGCAGAGCTGTGGCAGCACCGGGGTCCAGAGCAGATCAGGGCCCGGCAAACCCCCTGCAGCAGTGCCACGCTCCCTAGCAGCTCTGTTGGGTCTGCAAAGTGGCCCTTGCTGGGAAGCGTCTCATGCCTATCACCATCACTCACTCACTGCTTGCCACTCCAGTTGCTGGGCAGGGGCGGTGTCTGGCCCCTGCCCCTTGATCTGTGCTCAGGGCAAGCCTTGCCTGGACAGGAGAAGGCTTATTGAGCCACTGGCCCCAACCACAGGCCCAGCAGCAGTTGCAGCCAAGCCAGGCAGACCCCGATGTGGTGCCAGCAGCCAGTGTCCAAATAAGCCTCCTCCTGCCAGGAGGGGGCTAGCCTAAGCACAAAGTGGCAGCCGGGCTGGGCAGCCCCATTGTGATGCCAGTTGCTGCTCTGTGCTTGGGGCAAGCCCCCTCTGGGCAGGAGAAGACTTATTCAAACACTGGCTTGGAGCACAGAGCAGTGGCTGCAGCCAGGCTGGGCAGTCCCCACTACAATGCCAGCACTGCTCTGTGCTTGGGACAAGCCCCCTCCAGGCAGCAGGAGGCTTATTTAGCTGCTGGCACTGCATTGAGGTCTGCCTGGCACAGCCGCAGCTGCCACTTGGCCTGGGCTTGGGGCCAGTGGCTGAATAAGCCTGCTCCTCCCGGGAGGGGGCTGGCCCAGCACAGAGCAGCGGCTGCAGCCGTGCCAGGCAGACTCCAATGCAGTGCCAGTGGCCAGCAGCCAGCATCTGAATAAGTCAGCATCTGCCTGCTGGGCCTGCTCTGCCTGGGGAGCAGAGGGGAGGGGCCAGCCTGGCTGGGCTGGGCTGGGGCAGAGAGCCCAGCCCAGGGAGCATGCCAGGATGCTGGGGGTCTCTGGTTTAGCTTAAACCAACAAAGGGCCTGGGACAGACATTATGTAAACCGGTTTGAGTCAAATCAGTTAAGTCTTTCAACCAGGTTTATTTCAAACCAGTTTCAGCCATTTTCAGACTGGTTTATGTGCACTGAACATCTGTTCTGTTACAGATTTAAACCAGTTTCTGATCTTTTAAACCAGTTTGTGTGTATTGTCTGTTCCTCGCCCTAAAGAGTTTGGTTTTCTGCAGCAGTTTGTTAATGAAGAAATCTTAGCCACTAGAAACGCTAGAAAACCACTGCATCTTGTGTACTTTAAACCTTCAATTTTCCCCTCCCAAGAAAAAAAAATACTCACTTTGGTATGTTGGGAGGTTGTACAGGAGATGGGAGATTATTACAATCTTTTAAAATCACACCTAGTGGAGAGGACCTGATTAAAAATATAAACAGTATTTAGAAGTATTTATGCTATGGACACGTCAATCTTATTAGGCAAAACATCAAAAACAAAATGGTTCAAAATTTTTCGCTGAAGAATAAAAATGCTTTGAAAGAGACATGGGCATAGCGGCAAATCTTTCCTAGGCTAGGTAAACAAACCAGCAGCTTACTGGTGCCCTCCCTCTTAGATTCACTAAAATATGACCGATTTTACTGCATAACACTCACTCACTTAATGTGTAAAATTTATTTTGACACAGAAGCAGATTATGTTAGTTGTATAAGACTTGCCTATATAAACTGAAAAATAAATAAATAAATCTTTCTGTGTCTACATATAGCCTAAAAGATGTCCTGCTTACCTTGGTCTCAGATTCTGTAAGCCTTGTTTGGCCTTTATAAGTCTTTTACTCTTCACATTTCCAGGGTCCCAACAGGCACAACGTGAAGAGATGGAGTGAGACATGTCTGCAATTTCAGGAACCTTGACTAGTTAAACAATTCTAGGAAAGTTGAAGAAGTGTAAATTTATAAGCATTTACTAGATTTGGTATATTTTGCATATCAAATAAAACATTTTATCATCTTATTATGGAGAATAACCCACCTAACTCTAAGGACAAATGGTGAAGGCTGAATTTAGCCAGTGCATATGCACATGCATAGGTGGATCTAGGGTTTTGAAAAGGAAAGTGCAGATAGTGTAGTGAATCATCAGATACAACATAACTTGTTTCTGTCCAGTTAGAAAGAAATTAGAAGCTTTACTACTAAGCTAGGGGCCTAGAGGTATATTATTCAGTTTAAGATAGAAGCAAAAACACATAACTATTGGAATGTGCATTCATTCGCTATAGCATATTATGTATCATTAGTCCTGAAGTCACTGTAATTCAGTGTACGTCTCCCTCTCAGATTCATAAAACACTGAAAGTTATTTCCATACCTGAGTTAGTACTTTTAGCTGGAGCTAAAAAACAGTCTGCAGGACTGTGAAATATGAACTACATTACCAGGAGCAGCTACCAGACAGCGGAATTGCAGAAGAGAGGGTTTGATTAGTGGAACACCATTGAAAAGGAGAGAGGGGTCATTAACACCTGTGGGATTATGGCAAGAGTTTAGAAGGAGCTGGGTAGATTATAATGGCTGCCTAACTAGAAATGCTGTTGCCACTGCCAGGCAGTTGGTTTTAAACTTTGGGTGGAGCAGGAATCAAAGTGGGGTGCAACCAGGGTTCAAATTATGGGGGAGCTTGGTGGGGAGCTTTCCCATAAGAGATAAGAGCCCCTCTGTAAGATCTGAAAACCATAACCGGGGGCGGGGGGGGGGTGTCAGAATTCATAAGTAATAAGGAATTTATTCTTATTTCAGATCCTTTGACAAATGAAAAATGGCTACTGTAGGTGAGAAGGTAAAACTGTGTCTTATGGCTAGCAGAATTGAAAACCATATCAGCTGTGAGAAGAAAATGGTGGTTACGTTGAAGTCTAGCATTGTGTACTCTAGTTGTCCTAAAATGTTAATAAATTTGCTTTTAAATGCCGTTTACAGATTGTTTCTATCATACCTACAACCTAAGTTGTTAAAGTTTAAAAGTCCACAAGGACTTTATGAAGACCCTGTATTATTGTTTAAATATGACTTGCACATTTTTAAGAAGGGAGTTCAATAGCTCTTGTCATAGGTCAGAGAGAGGCCAATGCTATTGTGGGCTATGCACAGGTATTATACAATGAAGCACCAGAAATAGGTCTACCGCATGTATCTTGGGTACTTTACTGTTGTAAGCTCTGCAGGGAGCCACATTACCAGTGTAACTATAGGCCATGTGTGGAACCGCTGGCACCCCGTGTACCTAACTAGCCACCCATGACACTCTCAAAGGATCCCAATAGCTGATGAGTTTTCATACCCATTCCTCCAACTGCTTTCAACAGTATGCTCCTTCCCTGGCCCTTTGCTCCCCGTCCCCATGACACATCGTCACTCAACTGCCATGGAACCTACCCCTGGTGGCCACCTGCCAGACCTCCCTTGCCAATTTACCAGTCTCCGCGGCCCCCCACCTTTGCATGCCATGTTTACCATGGCTGCTAGAGGGAAATCAAAGGCATAATGAGGATCATCAAGGGGACTGAGGAAAATTAAAATACCTAGACCAGTTTGATAGACTTACCTAAAGGAGGATTTAAAAGACAGAACAGGTCATGTTAACAACCTACAAATAGGGTGAAAACAGAAAAAAAAGGAATCAACTGGCAGCTACAACTAGGAGCAATGGAATCAAAATAAGAGATAGAAAACTTATGCAAGCTATCAAGAAGAGATTCCTCGCTGTGCAGTGGATGCGACAGGAAAGCAGCATCCGAGTGTTTACAGAAAAACATGAAGAAAGCCCACATAAAAAAGTAACAGCTTCAAGTTCTTTAGTTGCTAATACGCAAAACACAAACGGCACTGAACTACTTACTTTCTTTTTTTAATCTGAATGAGAAACATCAGAGGTGGAAAAAGACACATTTTGAGAGACACTTACTCTCCAAAAGCAGCTGGCTTAGCTCTCAGGGTTCAGACATTTTAGAAGACTGGGAATCCCCTGAAGTTTATTTAAAAAAGAAAGAGCATGGTTTCTCATAGATATTATTTCTTCTTAAGATTTCCCCTTCTTCCTGACGAGGTCAGTTTCCCATGTCACCATGGAAACAGAACGGCACGACTTCACTGGCTCCTAATGTTCATTCCGACTTAAAGAGAGAGTGCGCGCACAGATCCACAGGCGTAGGGCTGGAAGGGACCCCGTGAGATCATCGGGTCCAGCCCCCCTGTTCTGGGCAAGAAAAACTGCTGGGTCAAAAAGCTCCAGTGAGGTGCGTGCCCAGTCTTCTTTTGAAGACTGGCTGCCTGCACCACCCCCGCTGTGGGAGTCTATTCCAGAGTCTGGTCTCACAACCTGTGAAGTTTTTCCCTATATCCAGTCTGAAACCTTCTTCTAGGAATTTATAACCATTACTCCTGGTTTTCCCCTGGGGTCATTGGCAATGCATAGGGGGTGCGTGGGTGAAAGTGCACCCCCTGTGAAAAGGCACTGCTGACTACCGACAGCGCCTGCAGGCAGTCGCTACTCCTGCTCCCCCTCCGCTGACACTGCTGGCGAGCGGTTTGTGATCGCTGCAGGCCGCTGCCAACACTGCCAGCATCTCTGCAGGTGGTCGCCAGTTGGCGCTTGCCCCCCTCCCGAACACCGCCACGGCTGCCTGCAGGAGCTCCCTGCTTGATGCCAGTGGGACCTTGCTGTGCCCTTGCAGCCTTCAGGGACATGCAGCATTCGTGCCTGGCGTGCTTTGTTGACTAGTTGTCCGCCTAGCCCCTGATATACTTGTAAGCTACCACCAAATCCCCCCAAAGTCTTCTCTTCCCTAGGCTGAACAGTCCATTATCTGTCAGCCTTTCCTTGCATGGCTTGCTCTTCAGGCCTCTAATCATACGAGTGGCTTTTCTCTGGACTGTCTCAAGCTTCTCCATATCCTTGAAGTGTGGTGCCCAGAACTAGCAGTACTCCAGCTGTGGCCCCACCAATGTCCATGTCCTATTGTTAACAGCCCTTTCACACCAGCCTTTCTGAAATTACTGGAGGGTTCACAACGAACACATACTGTAGGAATGGGAGCAGAGAGAAGAATAAATTCAAGGCTTCAGAAAAGAACAGCAATTTAAGGTGTTTTAATTCAGATGAAAGATTCTGGATTGATCGTCATAGATGCTCATGGCTTCCGTTTAGCAAATAAACCAGTGTGGGGCAGCCATGAGCTGATGCAGACATCCTTATTTTGGCCTATTGGTGCTTCATTTTTACAATAGGAGTACATTTTCCTTAAGAATCAAACTGAAACCATCACATTTTTTTTAAATGGATTTGTAAATAACCTTCAAGTGGTCACAGCTCTTGGACAAAAACACTTGTTCTCCCTTCTTTCCTATATTGGCGATATATTTAGATTGCTTCTGTAAGAAACCAGTACATTGTTGTGCCACTGCGCCTGCACACCGCGCCCACATACTGCCCCTTATGTGTCGGCATATTGCCACCTATGGCCTTACTGGCCAACGGGCACGTGCGGCCAGCGTGGAATCATCACGTGATTTCAAGTAATTGAGCGCACCAGTAACTCCCGCACTATTCAAATCAGGCTATGAATAGAATGCCTGGAGCTGATTGGGTGAAAGCGCACATCAGGGTTGCGACGAGTATAAAAGGCGGTGGTTAACGCCACTCGGAGAGGACTTAGCAAAATCCACCAAGCGTGTAACTTCCACACGCCATGGGGACCAGCCACCCCTGTGCCTCCCGCCATCGAAAACTCCCGGCGTACCCCTTCCCCGGTTAGCGCATCAGATCCTACGAGCAGTTCTGCTTCACGGTAACCAGTGAACATTGTAACAAAGCGAAATCTGTGTAAGAACTCTGCAGCCTGCACCTCCGATGCGGAGTGTAAGTAAAAATAAACTTGTTTGAAACCACACGAGTGAGTTCCCTGCCTGCCTTTATAAGTCCAGATACCTGGGCAAATCCCTTTGCAACCCACTCGGGGAAGCAACAGCTTCAATATCAGAAGGCAAATACAAAATCCCGGTAGTCCTTGGCTGACTCTTTCAGCCAATGCACCTTACCATACGCACTGCAGAAGTGACCATACGGAGTGTCAAGGTCTCACTCGAGCGCCTCAACTCAGCATTTGGTGGCTCCTTCAAAATCTGGGCCAGGAGTTGTTGGATTGTCAACTCTGGATCTGCAGGAATCCATTTGTTCACCTCAACCAGAGAGGCAGCAACATCTGAGTGAAGGGGAGGAGTAGATCACTAAGACAAGACTTTCAGAGCAGATGTTTTATTTTCTCCATGTAAGGTTCCTTCAGTTCCATGATGACCTGCAAGGCTTTTTTTTTTTTGAGCTTTCAGAGCTTTATAAATAAATGAATGATTTTCTTGGTGATCCAAAAAGAGACAAAGAAACTTAATGTAATACAGTCAATTGCTCGAAGTAAAGGCATTTTGTAGCTACTGTGGGTTATGTCAATATCTGCTGATGCCATTTTAAGTAGTGCTGATAAAGGGGATATTATTTCGAGTAGGAGTGAGCATGTTTATATTTTCTATCTGAACCATCCTCCCCCCTCCAGTAAATGAAAAAAATAAAAGTTAATGATAAAATCCTAAAGGATAAAAAAAACACCAAAAGGTGGACAAAACCTGGCAATTCAGGAGAAGAAATCATCAAATTATGCTGCAAGAGACCAATGGCCTTACAGGCAATAAAGGACGATTAACCTTAAGTTTAAGGGTTAAATGTTAAACTGAGATTCAGGTCATGACATACATAGGTTTTATAACTTGAGCACCTCAGATCAGCCAGCAAAAAATGAAAGTCCCAGTAGGTTAAGCCTGTAACCATTTCTGCTGGCAGAAATGGATCTGGAGGGGAAACCCTTCGGCGATGCCTTAGTTCGCCGGACAGGGAGCTGCGCTCCTGAGCCGCGCGCGTGAACAGGCTTGCTCTGTAAGGGTGCGCTGGCGTTTGCGCTGGCGTTCGCGTAAGGCGGGCGCGAGGTAGCTGCACAGGGCA